ATTTTGGTCAGCCTATCCATCTGCCATATGTTTCTGCACATGGATTCACTAAATTTCAAGTGCCAGATGAGCAATATTAGCAAATTCTGCTTGCACATCGCTTCCACCATTGAAGTCCTCAGGCTGGGCTGCTGCTCTGCATAACAAACCCTGCCATGCTGTGGGGGTCGGGCACCTCCAGCCCATGGGCAGAGCAACGTGACCCACCTTACTGTGCGCTGAGCACTACAGCCTGGGGGTGGGTGCTGCCTCTTGTCTCTCTTGTGCTCACTACCATTACCTGATAGCCAGTCTGATAAATCCCTCTCCTGAGTTAACTTGGGTCAAGTCCGTCCCAAACTCCCTTGTCTGAGATCTTTTATTTGAATAACAGTTGAGTCTTAAATGCATTATTAATTGCTACCCATATTACAACAGCATCTAAATATACCGAATAACTTAACAGAAGCTAGTCCCAAGGAAAGGGAAGCATAAAGAGGATTAGAAAAGACAAGCAGATGAACTCATGCAGAGAGCTTGTCATATCTCATATGCTAACAAATTTGAGCTCAGTTAGCATTTGGATGAGAGACCACTTTTGCTAGAAGTGGTGTTGCAGATTAATAGGCAGCAATAATCCTTTAACCTGATAACCCTGATTTTTTTTTTTTTTTAATTGCAAGGAAATACCAGGGCAGGAGCAGCAAGAACCTGTAATGCATAGCTAGAGATAATGCCCTTAAAATAATGCCAATTTTTCATTTGCCACATCAATGCAGCTTCCTCTCTACTCTGTGGCTTTTATCATCTGATCAAACATGCATAACTGTGTTCCACCTCCTCTGTGGGAAGATGTTGCAGTGAGTGACAAGGGCCTGCTGTCTGTTTGAGCTGAAAGCACAAGGTGTTTGCTTCTGTCCTGAAGGCAGGGGTAGCATTCTTCTCTGAGTATATTGGTGGTGGTTGAGGACCTTCAGATACAGGCGGTAACAGGGTTACAAAGTACGTCACTCAAGCTCAGACTGTTGCTTGTGCTGTGCTCTACTCTCCCAACAAGAAAGAGGAACACATGCTAAAAAATGGATCTAGTGTTTCTCAGCACTTCTCTGGGCAGTGGTCTTATTGCCTAGCAAATTCCTCAGCTCCAGTCACCCACTTTTTTGCTCTCCACAGGGTAAGGAAGCTGAAGAGAAGGGTTTCCACTATAACAACCTTCGTCTGGTGGCCTTGGACTTGTTTACAGCTGGTTCTGAGACCACCTCCACCACTCTCCGGTGGGCATTGCTGTACATGATTCTCCACCCAGAAATACAGAGTAAGTCAGAAACTTACTTACAGAAGTGTAGCCTCTTTCCTTCAAGACTCATTTTTCCACAAGGATTTCACAATGAGGAACAGCTTTGGTGATTGTTGGTCTCGCAGAAACAGAGGAGAAACACTTCCCAAACAGCTGTTCTGGCAGGGGGGTTGCCACGATAACAAGACTGGAGTTCGAAGGGCAGGTTCACTCTCACCTTCATTTTGAGGGCTTCCCCTGGGGAATGGCCGTGGTCAGTGTACCCTCTTCCAGTATTTGCAATAGATGCTGATTGGTTAAATTCTCTAATGCTGCTTGACCAGGTATCCTTCAAGCTGCTTAGAGGAGGAGTAAGGTAGCATATCAAGTGGCAAGGCCTTTATTAAGGATGCTTTGAGCAAAGAACAGTTACACAGAGTCACCAGTCAACTGAGAAGCGCCTTCCAGTCTGGTTTCTGTTTCTGTCTCTAAGTGCCTGTCCTGTTCTCACCCAGTGCCTACAATCTCATGCAGCCAGTCTCCCATCAGCAAGTACCAGCTGCATCTGGTTCTCTAAGGGTCCTCTAATTCTTTATCTCTTCTGCTTTCAGGTAAGGTCCAGGCAGAGATTGATAACGTGATTGGCAGAGAGAGAGCCCCCACCATGACAGACCAAGCAAGCATGCCTTACACTAATGCTGTGATCCACGAAGTCCAGCGCTGTGGGGATATTGTTCCAATTGCGCTACCTCACAGGACATACCGGGACACCGAGTTGCAAGGCTTCTTTATTCCCAAGGTGACCAGATAAGCAACACAGCAGCCTCTCCTTGGTGCAGATGCCAGGCATGGGGTGGGGATGATCCCGTCCAACCCTGCAGTGTTGCACTTCCAGCCCCAATTTCAGTCACTGTTGAGCACTAAAATAGGACATTTTTAAGTGCTGAATCCAGGCAGACGGTCCTATCTGTGTTCTAGGCTTCCGCTTGTTGTAAGGGAATGCAACTGCAGTGGCAGCTCAGTGCAAAGGCTTCCTTTCCTCTCAATGAGCTGTAATATTCACTGCCTGTCAGAAGAAGCCTAACAGGCTCTCTGGAGGCACTCAACACCAGCTTACTGGCTTTCCTGAGATGGTAGCAGTTAAATTCTAACCTCTGAAGCTACTCAAATGCCATTGGCATTCAGACCAGTTCCTCTGTGACAAGCAGCTGCCCTGGCAGCAGTGGCAGAATTCAAGTCTGGGATATTTTTTGTAATTTTTTTGTAGCCGTGTGGTATCTCCTCTGATTTAGAACCTTGACAAGTGATTTGTGATTTTCCATGCTCCCTGCGAAAGCTGGCCTTTGAAGTCTGTCGGTCAGCTTCTTCTCTGCAGCTATAGAACAAGTCCAGGAGGATCTGAGAAGCAGAGGCTGTTTCCACTGTGGAACCGTGAAATTGGCATTTGCATGCAGCAGCCTTTGAAAGGCTACAAATTGCAAATATTCTGGTGCTTCCGAGTGTAGGGCCGGCACCAAATGCCATTGGAGAAGGGTCCTGCTTTACCTCTGCTTCAAATAAGATGCAGAAGTGGAAATGGTGCTGGTGGTTTGCAGACAGGGACTAGAGAGGGACAGGCACTGTTCTGTTGTGCCGAGATAATGCTGCTGTTCTCTTCTGCAGGGGACAACAGTCATCACCAACTTGTCTTCCGTGCTGAAGGATGAGACAGTCTGGGAGAAGGCAAACGAGTTTTACCCCGAACACTTCCTGGATGCAAAGGGGCAGTTTGTGAAACCAGAGGCCTTCCTGCCCTTCTCAGCAGGTAAATCTGAGGGGAGGGTCCAGCTGCAGGTCAGAAGCACAGCTGGAGGGTGATCTGCTCCCCCTGTGGCAATTCCAGCATCGATTATTGCCCTCTTTGACAGACACTTCCTCTTCCCTCTCCTGCAGGTCGCCGTGCCTGTCCGGGAGAACAGCTGGCCAGGATGGAGCTCTTTCTCTTCTTTACCACTCTCCTGCAGAAATTCACTTTCGTGCTCCCTGAAGACCAGCCCAGGCCACGGGTGGATGGTCACTTTGGAATCACAAACTCTCCACACCCATTCCTGCTGCGAGCTCTCCCAAGATAGGAGCACACCACTCCTTTCACTGACAGACCACCACCCCCCAAACTCTGTCAGGAACATTGCAGGTCTAGGCAGGATCATGCCAGGTTCAATCTCCAGGCTGTGCACAAGGCCACGTCTGAGTAAAGTGAGGATCTAGGCCAGTATCTTGTTGAGCTTAATTCTAGCTGTGTAAAGTAAGGATCTAGGCCAATATCTTGTTGAGCTTAATTCTAGCTATGGTTCTTGAATCAGACAAGAGAGCTTCAGCTTGAACAACAAGGTGACAATAAAATGTAGTTTCAGAGTAGTGCTTCTGGAAAATCTTACCGTCCAGGACATATGTGTCCCCTTCATTTCTTCCTGTTTATTACACACTTCTCTACGTTGAAAAAATATTGCATTGTCTTCATTTATAGCCTCAAAGAAAGTACGTTTTAATGCTGACAACCCTTATGTCACACTATGCCTCCAGCAGGAGTAAATACCAAGGAGTACATAAACAATCCATATGGTGTTTCAGCCACAGAAGAAGGTCATTTGTGAAATACAGAAATTTTGATAAATACATTTAAAGAGAAATCCTGGTGTTTAGATTTACTATCTCCTCCAATTAAAACTTTGTTTTATTCTTGGCATTACATCAAGTCAGCTCTTGGGCAGGTTTGGAACTCACAAAGGGATAGAGTTACACTGTTTGAAAGTGTGTGGCCATAGATTTCAGAGCTACCTTTCTCTTTCTTCCTGCAATATTCCTGACAAATTGTTTGCAAGTTGCAAAGGTATGTTGATTTTTAAATTAGCAATAGTTCCTTTACTACATCTAAAGAGACAATAGCACAAAGGAGTTCCTATGTATAATCCCCACTAAAAAAAATAATCTGAAATTAAGTGCACGTGTACAGTAATAATTTTGTGTAATATTAATTTTGGAAACTATGAAAGCTATTGCATGATGCAAATACTTACTTATGTTACTAAGATTTGAACTGCAGCGGGAACTGAACATTTACGCTTTTCATCAACAAAATAACTTGAAAGAATAAAAGTGATGTGAAATCTTCTTTCTGGCCCCTCCTCTTTGTGGTTGCCTCAGTCGTGCTGTGCTCCTGCCTCAGAGACTCACCTGACGTTTCTCTCCTCACATCCAGCACCTGCGTCTTTCAAGATCACTGTTCTGGTCCGTTCACTGACACCGAACTGCATTTGTTCGGATTTATAGGGGCCAGCACATTCGCCAGTGTGTTTAAAGAGAACTTAACTTCGGAGCGGTCCTGGGACCCGTGTGTGTGGATAAAAACTTGGGTATAGCTGAAGTAAGGGAGTGTCTTTTCTAGCATGCAAGAATGTACCGGGAGAAAGTCCAGCTGGCAGACCGAACAGCAGCCGATTGCGGCGATCCAGGGCAAAGGGAACAACTGGATCGCTCCAAAGCACAGCCCAGCCCTGCCCTGCCCGGCCCTGAGGGAGGAGCGGGCTCTGAGGGAGGAGCGGGCCCTGAGGGGCGCTGCGGACCCACGGCCTCAGGAGGCGGGGCCCGCCCAGCAGCTCCGCCCCTTGCAGCGCAGTGATTGGCGTTTCCTCCGACCAATCGGGTGGGAGGCGGCCGGCTCGGAAGGCTGGAGTGGCAGCTCGGCCGGCCAATAGGAGAAGTTGCCGTGCCCTGCGCGTTCCCGAGGGCGGTGGGGACGGCGGTGGCGGCGGCGGCATCAAGATGGCGGTGGCGGGCAAGGGAGTGGTGTCGGCCGCCGTGAAGCCGATCTTCAGCCGGGACCTGGGCGAGGCGAAGCGGCGCGTCAGGGAGCTGTACCGGGCTTGGTACCGCGAGGTGCCCAACACGGGTGGGTGAGGGACGCCGGGCCTGCCGCGCGGGCTCAAGGTCGGAACGGCCTTAATGACATTGGTGAAGCCGAACGAGTGACAGCGTCGCGATTTTTAGGGTTGAGTCGCACCTTGCCGGTGGAGCGAGGGCAGAGCGCCGTGGGTGACCGCAGTAGGTGTTGTGTTTCTCGTAGTGCACCTGTACCAGCTGGACATCACGGTGAAACAGGGGCGGAACAAGGTGCGGGAGATGTTCATGAAGAACGCTCACGTTACGGATCCACGCGTGATAGACATGCTGGTTATTAAGGTACACACAGTTCCTTCTGCTTTGTTGAAGCTGCAGAGAATGCCATGATTGGTGGCGAGTGTGATGGAGGAGAGGGACAACTTTGTACCAGCCTGACTGTGGAGTGGTTGTCTCTTGCAGTTGGATTGGTAATACCTATGTCAGCAAACCTGTGGAGAAGGGATCAGGTGGCTTTAGAATTCAGCAAGTGTATGTCAAGCAAAGCGACAATTAAAATACGAAGTTTGTTCCTTATTTTTCTTGCTTGCTTGTCTTTTTTTTTTTTTTTTTAACAACAGCAATCAAAGAGAAAATAGGTGCTGCTCTCTAGTTTACTATTAAAAATGAACTTTCTACCCTCTACAGTACTTCATTGGATTGGAAAATTATTTTCTTTACTGATTCTGAAACATGTATTACAGTGTCAGTGCTCGGTGAGAAGCTGTTTTTGGGTGGCAGAACACTCCAGCTCTGTAACACACCTGGTGAGACCTGTCTGCTTCAAAGCAATAATCAGCACCACAGCCTTCAAAATGTGTCTGAGCAGCAGTAACTGACCTCTGCAGTTCTAATGCATCAGAAAGCTTCCAAACAAGGACTGCCATACTCACCCGTTTTATTTCTTGCATTTCAAGACAATTACTCTGTCTTTACATGATGAAAAAATCTGATAACAAAATCTTTGTATGCTAGGTGACAATTCTAGGCAGTCTCATTTTGCTCTGTGCTACCATCCTATAAAACCCGTACAAAGAATGAAATAGTGAAGAAGTTGCACATCTCAGTGGCAGTGATACTGGTGCAAAACACTTGGCAGCAGTTAATTTTACAGCTGAAGTGTTGCTCTTCACCCAAATTCAGCAGAGGTGGTCAAAAGTTAGGAATGTTGTGTAGAATTTTATGGGAGATGCGGGTCAGGAGAGAAACAAAGCAGGTTTTAAGAAGGGGACAGTCTTTTTTTTTGCCTGTTTCACAGGGCTGGGAAGCTGTGCTGCAGAGAAATCCATGTAAGTGCCAAGGCAGGAACAGTATATTTGTGTCACAGTGCAGATGATGCATGCAGGCTGTAGGAGAACAGAACTGCTGATGCAGCTGTTATTTTTGTAGGTGTTTTTAAGTTCATTCACAGTACTGCGTGCTTAGTCTTGGGCTCTAACTGCCAACTAGTCTAAAGTTCTTTTGTGTGTGTGCAGGGGAAAATGGAGCTTCAAGAAACCATTCATGTCTGGAAGCAGAGGACTCACGTCATGAGGTACTTCCACGAGACAGAAACCCCGCAACCTAAAGACTTTCTGTCCAAATTTTATGCGGGCCACAATCCCTGAGGAACTGACTCTGTGTCTTCCTGCCTTATATTACAAATAAAGTTCTGTACAATAGAAAAAAAAAATCCATACAAAGAGATTCTCTAGCATCTTAGGAGCCTAATGGTGAATCCAGAGCATGTGCAAGTGATTGTGATCTGTCTGAAGAGCTGTCATTTCCTAGTTTTGCCAGTGTGTATTTTCAGCGGATGGCATTTATCCCATCACTTGCCCTGGGGTGTCTGCTGAATAACCACAACACAGCCTGGCTGTGGGTCTTTGTGCTTGGCCTGCAGCCCCATCTGTAGATGTTAGCTCTGTGAGGAAGAGGGCAGGCCTTCAGAAAAGCCGCTGTACTCACAGAAATGTTCTTGTGCTTGAGGGACACGTTTATTCATGCAGTGTCTTGCAATTGCATCCCATGACTTGTGTTGACCTTATGTTTTTTATTGGACGTTAGTCTCCTTTGTTTCTCACAGAGAAAATATCAAATCAAGTAGGCAAATAAATCCTTGTGCAATAAAACATCAGCAGAGTCAATTTCTCTGCTGTAAAATGAATTACCTGGAAAAGGGGGATTTGTACTGTTTTTTAGAATAGGAAAGCTCTGTAAGAGCTTCTGAAGCCTGTCAGGAGATGGTGTCCCACCATCACCTCATCCACTGAACCAGGGATTACTAGTTCCCTTTTGAGAGGGATAAGGAGAATTTATTCTCTCAGCAGAGAACAGGTTTTCAGCAAGTAACTGGGTACTGGAGCTCTTCCAGATGTGACCAGCACTGGATAGTTGTAGTGCACTCAAAATTATTTTTTTTCCAGCCTAAATAAACATCGTTTTATCCTGTAAGTGCTGGGGCTTTCTTTCCCATGAGGACTGTAACACAGCACTCCTCAGGGATGTGTGCATAGGTACCTTGGAGCTCCAGGCTTGGCATGTTTTTAAGGACAGGGCTGACGGAGTCAGGAGGGGCCCAGGAGGGACTGTGGGACAGCATTGAAAAGGATTTTGGCAGCATATAAAACAGAAGTAGGTAGATGTTTGGCTCCCAAGAGCAGATAAACTGGAACAACTGCTTCTCAGGTGGCTTTGGACAAGGAGGGGGCAACTCAAGTGCCTCAAGAACCTGACAGCTGCCTTTAGCTGCAGCTCTTGGGGTTACTCAGATTACAGGCTCCCTTTTCTCTCAGTAGCCATGCTGGAGAGTTATTGAGCAAACATTAAAAGCTGTGCCAAAGAATAAGGGAACAAATGTCGTTTTGGAACTATACACTGCTTCTAATTCAACAGCAACACCAATTAGGAAGGAAGAAGTGGGCAGTCAGGAGGCCAGATCTAGTGACCAGAAACCAAGAGACAGTGGGGCAGTGCTGGCTGAAGAAAAAGAAACAACTGACCAACCTCTCAAGGTTTCATTTTGAGAGAACAGCTGGTCTGCTGTGACTAAAGATACTCTTCCGTGCCATAACAGCAAATAAGACCTTTTAAGTCTATGACACAAGGATTTAAGTGCAAGAACAAACACTTTTATGAAAAGAGGAGTTGAAGTTCATACAGTGAAGAAAATAAATACCTTAGGACCCTTTCAGAAGGAAGTACTGAGCTACCTAGGAAATATTAGATACTTGGAGCCAGTGTTCAGAGATGAAATGCTATAAAACACACGAGCAAGTTCATTTGCAACTTGTGATCTCAGCCTTTACCAAAGCCACTCAAAGCTTTAACTCTGTGATGATAATACTGTCTTTCATCCTCACTGAGGTGAAGTTAATGACACAGACCCCATCAGATACAGCTGCTACGTTGTTGAACAGTGCCATTGTCAACGTGCACTCCATTCTTTAACAGGGCTGTGTTGTGGAGCTGCTGCTTCCCCTAGGATTCCACATGTCCTGTAGATCAGTACTGAGTTACTGAAAGGACTCAGAAGAGAAAATAAGCATGAGGATGTTCCCTACTGTAACAGACACCCAGAGATAGAAAGGTTAAGACAGAAAAAGAAAACCACGGGACCAAAGTTGCACATGTCAATCTCTTGATCTTTAATTAAAGTGTTTCCCATGTTGCTAATTAAAGGCATCCCAAGCAGTCTTTGATGAGGTGAGCATCAAGGTGTGTGCAAGGACGCAGGGCCTATCACGCACTTCCTTCAACCCTGATCTACAGATTTCCAGCATACAGAGATGTGCAGGACACTCACTGGCAAAAGGGGATACAAAGACCCCTGTCCCCTTTAGGAAGGACAAAACACAGGTGACAGATGTTGGAACCATTGTTTTGTCAATGGCTTTCTCCCTTCTGGTCTTCTGTTCCAGTGCTGCAAATAGAAGAACAAGCTGTTACAGATACACCACTGAGCTGCAGCCTGCATCCTCCTCCCAAAACTACACAAGATGGGGTTTACATAATGGGAGTTTCCAACAGGCCACTGCAGACTTTGCAGTATTTTAAGTCTTAGCTTTTAGCTGCACAGTGCATGCTGGAAAACCCCTTATCAACTGGAATACATCCACCAAATTGACTACAAATCTACATTATTTACAACAACTCTAAAACAGTTTCTTTGTTCTATAAAGAATCAAATACACCTAAACTCAAATCTTTACACAAAAACAAGCTAAACAGAATAACAGAAAAGGGTAGAAAGTGTAGCACAGTGCAGATAAAGGTGAATTATTTCCATTCTTCCTTTCTGCAATGAGTCTGAATGGTCTTACTACTCCAGAGATCAGTGTTGTAACACCCACCAGACAGTTTGTCCTGATGGGTTCTGGAATGCTCTTAAATTGTTCATCTATATCAGAATTTCAGACAGTACATGATTCTGTTTTAAAAGAGTCATTCTGTGAGTTAGGAGAAGACTTTTAAACAGATAAACAAGTAGAACAAAATAATGGAATAGTTTATGTTGGAAAAGACCTTCAAATTCATTGAGTCCCAGTTGCTAACCCAGCACTGCCAAGTCCACTGCTAAACCATGTCCTTAAGTGCCTCATCTGCACCTCCTCTAAACACCTCCAGGGCACCACTTCCCTGGGCAGCCTGCTCCAGTGCTGGACAACCCTTTCCCTAAAGAAATGTTTCCTAATATCCAATCTAAACCCCCCCTAACACAACCTGAGGCTATTTCCTCTTGTCCTGTTGCTTGTTATTTGGGAAAAGAGACTGAACCCCACCTGGCTGCAGCCTCCTTTCAGGTAGTTGTAGGGAGTGATAAGCTCTCCCCTGAGCCTTCTTTTCACCAGGCTGAACAGCCCGAGCTCCCTCAGCCACTCCTTGTAACAGGTGTGTTCAGACCCCTCAGCAGCTCTGCTGTCCTTTGGATGTGTAATGTAGGAACACTGAATTCTCTCTGTTGTCTGCAGTACAGACCCTCACTGACTACATTTTATTTCTGATTCAGCTGGCAAGATCTAGAACACCATCACTTTTTCCAGTCTCTAAGAAATGCATGGCGTGGAGATTGCACAGACACAGTGTGGCCTACTCTGGTAGGAAACAAAAAAGTTCATAGCCAAAGGCATATCCGTGTCCATGCGTTTAACTGCAAGTGTATATTTTAAGCTGTTGCTGGCTGTATTTCCTTGTCTGAGATTCTCCTCCCTGCCCCAAGCCAAACGGGAAGCACAATAATTAGACTGCTGGTGTAGTTAATGACATACCCTTTAATCATCGTCATCGTCATCCTCTGGGACAAAGATATCGTGTTCTTCAAGTAAGGCTGCAAAGTTCTTACTGATCTGAGTGCCAACATACAGGAAAGGGATCACGACGCTGAACACTCTGAGGAGGCCGAAGGGCGTCTGCAAGGAGTCGATTGTAAAAAGTGGGTCTTTACATCCAAGCAAGTCGCGCTTTGGCTGAACCGGCGCACTCCCGGCTCCACAGGCGCGCGGAGGGCCCGGGAAGCGGCCGGCAGAACGATCTGCGTTCCTAGTGCCAAGTCCCGGTCACCGCACCGTGCTTTGTTACCGTATTGCAGCGTTACAAACACTCCCGACAGCGAGCGGGCAGCCCGGGGCAGCGAACACCCGTGGCTTAGGGAGGGGGAGGCGGGTATTGATCTCCCCTTGCTTCGCAGCGCTGCCTCGCTCGGGGGGACGCGGGGGACGCGGGCCCGGCGAGGCCCTGACGCTCGGGGGGCCGCTCCCGTCTCCCTCCCGCTGCCGAGCGCTTCCGCATCCCCGCCCGCAGCCCCCCGCTCATTGGTCCCAGGCACTGTCACTCAGCCCCACCGCCCCGCCCACAGCAGCTGCGCCCGCACCGATTGGCCACCGCTGCCGGCCGTTGCTGCCGCCTCCGCCCGCTCGCCCCTCACTCACCTTAACCGGTTTGGGCAAAATGGCGCCGCTGCGGGTGACGGTTGCGCCCCGGGAGGGCACCAGCGGCACGGCCGGGGCCCGTCCCGGCTCGCCCCAGCCCGCACGCCCCGAGCGAGCCACGGTCGCCGCCAGGAGCCGCCCGGCAGCCGCTGCCATCGTCCCGCCTGCCCCGAGCCGCGGCCCAGCCCAGGCGTCAGCTGGGGTCTCGCGAGACTTGTGGGGAGGCGGCGATGTCTGCACTGCGCACGCGCGGGGCGAGGCCGCGCCCCCCTCGGGGCCTGAGGGCGTCTGTCGGTGGCCCGCGGGGAGAGAGGGCCCGGGCCGGCTCCCGCCTTCCCGATCAGCGGAAAACCGCGCCGGGCGGGAATGGGCAGGCCCTGCAGACACGCCAGCAGACACGCCAGGGGGCTTCACGGCTCCATTAACAACGGGCTACAAATCAAACCGGTTTATTCGGCTTCGCGGCATAAAATACAAACTCTAAAGAATGTAATGAGATGCGTAATACAAGTTCCGCGTGTAAAACAAACTCTAAAGAACGTAATGCAATGTATAATACAAACTCCGCGGGTAAAACAAACCGA